CCACCTTCCCAGCCTCCACTCTCCTGCTGCTGATGCTGCGCTTAATGTTAAGGCTGCCCATGAAAACAAAATCTCATCATGCTGCATATTGCTTTTGTTTACTCCCCAAGCTTACCTGCCCGCCTCCAATCTTTACTTTAGAACCATTCCAAACCAATGTGTTCAGCTCCTAGAATGGCTCTTGACCAACCGCAGTCTTCAACTACTTTCCACAATGTTTTCATATACAAACTGACAACTCTGTGTTCAGTGGGGAGTATGTATAATGTTTGTCTATCACATATCAGATGTTCTGTACACACAGAAGAGGATATTCACCCTCTATACATAAGAGCCTTTCACATAATTTCCCTTTACCAGAGGTTCCAGTTTGGGTAGTATTCTACAGGGATACTCAGACAGTGAAAATAATTCAGGTAGAATCTGGGTTAAATCTTTGTTCACATGCATTTTGAATACATCTGATTAAGTTTTTTGGGGGGCTACCCAAAAAACCACTGAACCCAGGATAATCGATGACAGGATTTTTTTTCTTAGTTTTTCTAAGAGATTTGCGTTCTTGAATGTGTGAATAAATGATGCAAATAGACCCAGGATAAACCAGGATAAAACTCTACATGCTTTGAACATGCTTTGAATACACTCACATCATCAATTCCATCTTTATTCAAGCAGGCACATATGAGCAACTGAAATTGCAAAGATGCACATAGATGTAGTTCTATAGTGTGAACAACAAACCTGGAATGCATGAGTGAAATTATTCACATAGTTGCACTCAAAAACAAGAACATGTGAATGATCCCCTCAGACTTCATTATTGTGGCCAATCCATAATAGAGGGCATGCTTGCTGATATCTATGTAAATGAGAATCCAGACCTGTCCATTTTAAAAACAGACCTACTGAAAAATATTTTATTTGTTCTACTAAACAAGGAAACAGTTCAGTATCTTTTAAGTAAACCATGTTTAGTGTTGTACAGTAGGGATGGAATTTTGTTAAAAAAAAGTTGAAAAACAATAGGGTTTTTCAAATGTCAGGAAATGCTGATAAGGAAAATCCTAGACTGGTGAAAATCATTGTTATTCATGACTTCTGTGTGAAAAAATGTGTGTCCTTGTCTGTTTGTTTGTTGTTATCAGTATTTCTGCACAGAAAACACTTTTTTTTTGCAGGAATTGTGTTTTCTGCGCAGAAATCAGCCATAAGTTTCAAATTGAAAATAGTATCTGAAAACTGTACAGTTTTCAATGAGTTTCTCACAGAGAGGAGGAAAATGATGAAATTATTAATTCTTGTATGCAGAAATGAAATTTATGAAGATTTACATCCTTCTGCAGTGAGTGTAGAGGCAGAATTGCAACCTTAGTCTGTAATCGTTGTTTGTGTAAGGCTCCATTTTTTTATTTTCTTCCTTACATTAATGTGCTTTTGTTTGTCTTGTTGTTAATCCTACTACTGTCTCAGAAGAAGTATCTGCAAGGATAGTCCAAGTAGTAACAGCTGAAGCTGTGGCAGTCCTGAAAGGTGAACAGGAAAAAGAAGCCCAGCACAAAGATCAGCCAGCACCATTACCTTTAGGTAAAGCGAGTCATTTCAGCTGTATGTTGTGTTATAGACATCAAGCTTTTGCACTGCAGCTGTGGCCTAGCCTTTTGTTTTTAATGCATTAGTCCATTTATTTTAAGTATTGAGAGCTATCACAAAAAGCCATGGTTTGTGTCAGCCATGGTTTGTCGCTTAAGCTGTGAATTTCATAGTGGATGACCAAAGCATCACTTTTCCTCCCTCATTTCTGGTTTGCTTCATGTTTGTTTATGGTGTACATCTGGTGTGCTTCTCTCCTGCCCTTTTGCCAGCAAATATTTCAGGGTGGTAAGCTGGGGAAACAAGGTGAGAACAAGTTATAGTTGCAGATGCCATGTCCTGATGTTTCATTTTTAAGCAAACCAGAGTTCAATTATTAATGTCTTAATATATTAAAATAATGGTGTCACAGAGACTCACTCCAGTTCAGCCACATACATTGTCATGTTTTATTTAAAAATGCATGTTCTGTGATGGGCCATCTTTGATCAAAAAATGCATGAGAGCATCAAGGTGGAGATAATTCCTCGTGAAAAAGAATTTAAAAAGTAGCTGAATGATTATATAAGGATACTGCATGATGCCAAAAAAAAAAAAAAAAAGAAAGAAAGAAAAAAGAAAAGAAAAGAAAGAGAAAATATGATACATGTTGAAATATTTTGCTGAGCTGCATCCCAAAACTGAGTGTCATATAATTAAAGCTGCCATTTTGTAAACATAAAAAACCCTGACTACAGCCAAAAAAAATCTACAGAATGCAAATCCCATCTATTTGTGGAGCTATTCAAAGAGGCAGCTGCACAAGTCTGTTTTAGCATAAAAAGACATGCAAGAAATCAGTAGCACCTTTGAGACTAACTGGGGAGAAGACATTTCTAGCATAAGAAAACAGATAATCTGTTTGCATCCGATGAAGCTGAATGAGTCCACGAAGCCTTATGTAGACATTTCTTTTTTCCAGTGAAGAAGACAGCTGTGTATGTATTATTGTGTATTAGGATAAATAATATATCAGGTTTGGCTTGAATGAAAGTTGGCATCATTAAGAAGATCTACCAAGTACATAACATCACTAGTCTGTGCAGTGGTAGCTGCAGGCTTCCATGTTAGGGGTGCAGTGAATTTGCTGTGGGTTATATTCCAGACTATCCAAGGAACTATATATGATGCTGAACCAGCTTTGGGAAATAAGGTGCAACATCTTCAATTTGTTGTTGTTGTGTGCCTTTTCAGGTCATTTCCAATTTACACTGCCTCTAAAGAGAATTTATCATAGTTTTTCCCCCTAGCAAATTTATTCAGAATGGATTTGTCATTGCCTTCCTCTGAGGCTGAGAGAAGAGTGTGCCTTGCCCAAGGGCACCCACTGGGTTTCCATGACTGAGCAGGGATTTGAACCCTGATATCCCAGAGTTTTAGTCCAACATTCAGACCACTATACTTCACTGACTCTATGCTGTATCAAAATGTGAATCATGGACATCACCTTTTAACTCTGGACTGGAACCCAGAGCAGATTCACTGCATACTGATACTCTACAGAGTTCTGCAGAAATAACTTGCATTGTTATGAAAAGCTTTTCTTGAAATTGCATGCAGAAACTAGAATGATGGGCACAATAATGGAGAAATGAATTATTTTAATGTCCTGTTAGGTTCAATGGAAGAGAGTCTTCCTATTGAAATGAATGAGACTTAAAGCATTAACCAAATGCTGCCAAAATATTTTTAGGGAACAGTTTAGAAATGTTGCTTGGATAATGTTCTCACACACCTAGTGAAACTATTGCTTGTTTCCATCCTCTGTATGTGTTTCATGTATGATAGTTGGTTCCTTGTAAGCAAGTTAGAGTTAAGACTGTTTTCTTGGCTACTGGACAGTCTTAAAATGGCACATTTAAAGGCTTGATCCAAATGATTTATATATGAAGAAAAGAGAAGTTGGTGTTGCAAATTATTTTTTAAAGTTTTAGCAATTTATGGACATAGTGAAATGCCACTATTTCAGATAAAGGTAAGCAAAGTTATCACATGGTTGGGCTCCTCTATATTATGTATCCCCTACCCTGAACTTATGTATTTGTTTGTTTTTAATTTTCTCAACTATTTTTCCTGCTTTTAACTAGTGAATTCAATTTTCTTCAAGGCATGTAATAATTATAATGCCATTTGTTCATTCAGACACTTGGGATGTTAAGAAAAACCAACCTAAATGTTTGTATATATCTTTTGTTAAAAGAAACGTATTTGAAGACAGTGGAATTGATTCCTAAACATAATGCTCCATCGTCAAAATTAATGGTTACTATTGTGGGTATCAGGCTATGTAAAAACTAAAGACTCAGGCTGAATGGATTTGAAATGTTATCAGATGCTGCTAATCTGTTATCCTGAATTCTCTTGTTGGCATATCCCAGTATCAAAATAATTAATCATTGTGTCTCATTTTTACTGTTCGATCTTTAGCAGTTGAAGAGACAACTAACCTGCCTCCATCCCCGCCCCCATCACCTGCTTCAGAGCAGACTGGAACACTGGAAGAAGGTAAGAATTCCCCTGGGCACTTTAGGGGGACCATCTGTAAGGAGAGAAATCCAGGGATCCCAGTGAAGAAGGTAGGAGGATAATTCTGTCATGAATCATGACAGAAGCAATACATGAGCAATGTTTGTTTCGGTAATAGGAAATCATTGACTTCATATGATTGTGAAATATCAACAATATCAATATGTGCCTGTATGTATTTATGTATTTCTCCCTATACATGAGCATGGTTATATCTGAGAGTATCTACTTACAGGAATGCAAAGGTTATGTGCAATACATTACTGTTGAATAGGTATTGCAGTTGGACTTCAAAAGACTCTGGTACCTTCTAGAGTTGCAGAGAAGAACATTTCACCAGGCATAACTTTTCTCATCACTGGCTCTGTAATGAGAAAAGGTGCACCTGGTTGGAGGGGGGAATGGCAACTTTTTCTGCAGGAGGAATTATTTCA